AGCGACGCTCACAACAACGAGCGGAGCGCTGGGTGGCTAAAGCACAGCAGGTCGGCACAGAAGGGGGGCACAGGTGGTGCATCAGCCAGTCATCTCGGTCATCTCAGTCAGTCGACCCGTGGCACTTGGGTCTGCCCCGTGACCTCTTGCCAGCGGGCGTTCGACACTTCACGTGGCCTCAAGGTGCACATGGCCTGGCACAAGCGTCGTGGTGACATCACCGCCACTTAGTGGTGAATGGCGGTTGTTGTTGTTGTGAGTTGTGTGTGTGTGTAAGTCCATGTATCTGTGTGTAGGTCCATGTACGTGTGTGTAAATCCATGTATGCGCGTGTAGGTCCATGTATGTGTGTGATAGTCACTGTGTGTGTGTAAGTGGATGTGTGTGTGAAAGTCGATATGTGTGTGTGAGTCGATGTGTGTGTGAAAGTCGATATGTGTGTGTGAGTCGATGTGTGTGTGAGTCTATGTATGTGTGTGTAAGTCGATGTGTGTGTTAGTCCATGTGTGTGAGTCGATGTGTGTGTATAAGTCTATGTGTGTGTGTAAGTCGATGTGTGTGTCAGTCGCTATGTGTGTGCGTGTGTCAGTCGATGTGTGTGTGTAAGTCGATGTGTGTGTGTTAGTCCATGTATGTGAGTCGATGTGTGTAAGTCCGTGTGTATGTGTAGGTCGATGTGTGTGTTAGTCGATGTGTGTGTGATTCAATGTGTGTGTGAGAGTCGATGTGTTTGTGTGTGTAAATCCATGTGTGTGTGTAAGTCGATGTGTATGTGTTTGTAAGTCGATGTATGTGTGAGTCGATGTGTGTGTGTGAGTACATATGTGCATGCAAGTCCATACGTGTGTGTAAGTCGATGTGTGTATAAGTCTGTGTGTGTGAGTCGATGTATGTGTGTGAGTCGATGTGTGTGCGTGAGTCGATGTGTATGTGTATAAGTCGATGTATGTGTGTGTGAGTCGATGTGTGTGTGTGAGTCGATGTGTGTCTGTGTAAGTCGATGCATGTGCGTGAGTCGATGTGTGTGTGTAAGTCCATGTGTGTGTGTAAGTCGGTGTGTGTGTGTAGGTCGATGTGTGTGTGAGTTGATGTGTGTGTGTGTGACTCGATGTGTGTGTAAGTCCATATATGTGTGTGGCATGGTCTAAGCTAGCTGATGAAAGTTGCTGAGGAGATGGAGTCTGCATCAATGGCCCGTGATCACAAATCGCTTATTAATTCCATCCAAAAAGTAACCTGCAGCGCCACACCTATTACCATCATTAGGGTAAAGAATGGTGATCCAATCTCCGACCCCCAGGAACAGGTTTGCAGATTTGCTGAGCATTTCTGAGTTCCTGGGGGAGGGGAAATCTCTCAGCCTGGAAAACATCATGGGACAAAGTGGGGATGACCCTGCTGAGGCTGCATTGCCTCAAATATGGAAAGAAGTCACCCCCTGTGAGTGGCTGGCTGAGGCGCCATCCGTTGAGGTAAGTAGTGAAGGCGATCCAGAGCCTGAGACCAGGAAAGGCACCAGGCAGAGATGATCTCCCAAGCGAAATGCTGAGGAAGGGTGGCGTTGTGCATAGACTGCCCTATATGACATCATAACAACAGTCAGGACGACTGGATGGGTTCCGCAGGATTGGAAGACTGCTCTGGTGGTCCCCCTCTTTAAGAAGGGGGACCGCACAGACTGTAACAATCACAGTGGCATCTCACTCCTCAGTGTGCCGGGAAAGGTCCTGGCAGGAATTATTCAACATCGCCTTGCCGGGCACGCTGAGGAGAGGTTTACGGAGCCCAATGCGGTTTCAGAAAACGGCTGTCCTTACAGATGTCATATTGTTTGTCCATCTGCTACAGCAGAGGTGTAGGGAATTCCAACAAGACCTACATCTCTGCTTTATTGACCTGGTCAAGGCCTATGATACCATCAGTAGGCCTGTGCTCTGGGTTGTTCTTCGTGCTTTCGGAGTCCCTGATCCACTGCTCACGATAATTAAGGACCTTCATGATGGTGAGTGGGCCCGGGTAAAACTACGTGTCCGGGAGTCAGAGCCATTCCCTGTACACCTTGGGATGCGATAGGGATGTCCTCTTGCTCCCACATTATTTAACATTTGTTTCGAATACGAAGTTCATGAAGTCTTTGATGGCTGTACCGGAGGAATTTCCATTTGGTACAGGTACAATGGGAGGCTGATCGATGCCCGGGTGTGTTCAAGGGATGGCTCCCTATTGCTCGACCACGTTATGTATGCTGATGATTTGGTAATAGCTGCTCATTCAGAGGAGGAGTTGGAGACGCTGCTGCTGAGACTGGAGCGTGCCACTAAGAGGTGGGGCCTTACCATCAGCCCCACTAAAACTAAGCACCTGCCTGGGTATTTTGTACCATCGGACACTCCACCCCACAACTCCCAATTGGTGATGGCACAGTTGTGGAGAGAGTGGAGAGTCTCCCATACCTGGGCAGTGTGCTCATGAACGGCTTCGGTTTGACAGCAGAGATCTCACTCCGAATCAGTCGAGTGGCATTATATTTTCATCAGTTACTTAACACTGTATGGAAGCAACCTGGTCTGTCGCTCTGCATGAAGCTTCAGGTCTTCTCGGCCACGGTCATTCCCTCCCTTCTCTATGCTTGGCGAAACGTGGACCCCCCTAATGAAACATCATTGTCGGTCAGAAACATTTAGGCTGGCCTGCCTACGATCCATCCTGGGTTTAACCAGGCTGGATTGTGAGCAGCTCACAAATTGTAGAAAAATCTGGACAAAGTCCCAACGGTGAGTTCCTCCAGCAGGCAAGCCTTCGTTGGCTGGGTCATGTCGCCCGCATGCCCAGTCACCGCATGCCTAAACAGCTTTTGTTCGGCCGGATGGAGGGGGCTAAATGGGCGCGGCACGGGCTAGAGAAGAGATGGAGTGATGTGGTACAGGAGGATGTGGAGCTGAATGGACTTGCCAATGACTGATACCAGCGGTGTCAAGATCGGCCTCTGTGGAGGAGGCTCATGAAGGATGCTACTCGGCAGTTGGAGGCAGTTGCCCTCCAACAACAATGGAGGGCGGAGGAGCGACGCTCACAACAACGAGCGAGCACCGGGTGGCTAAAGCACAGCAAGTTGGCACAGTAGGGGGCACAGGTGGTGCATCAGCCAGTCATCTCAGTCAGTCGACCCGTGGCACCTGGGTCTGCCCCGTGACCTCCTGCCAGCGGGCCTTCGACACTTCACGTGGCCTCAACGTGAACATAGCCTGGCACAAGCGTCGTGGTGACATCACTGCCACTTAGTGACGAATGGCGGTTGTTGTTGTGTGTAAGTCGATGTGTGTGTGTGGGTCGATATGTATGTGTGTAAGTCGATGTTTTGTGTGTGTGGGTCGATGTCTGTGTATGTGGAAGACGATGTATGTATGTATGTGTAAGTCTATGTGTGCGTGCGTCGATCTGTGTGTATATCTGAGTCGATGTGTGTGTATAAGTCGATATGTGTGTGTGTAAGTCGATGTGTGTATGTGTCAGTCGATGTGTGTGTGAGTCGATGTTAGTGAGTTGATGTGTGCGTGTGAATCGATGTGTGTATGTAAGTCGATGTGTTTGTGTGTGTGGGTCCATGTGTGTGTAAGTCGATTTGTGTGTGCTTGTACGTCGATGTGTGTGTGTGTGTAAGTCCACGTGTGTATGTGTGTGTTTAAGACCGATGTGTGTGTTTAAGTCGATGTGTGTGTAAGTCAATGTGTGTGTGAGTCGCTGTGTGTGTGTACGTCGATATGTGCATGTGTAAGTCGATGTGTGTGTGTGAGTCGATTTGTGTGTTTGAGTACATCGGTGTGTGTAAGTCGATGTGTTTGTGTGTGTGGGTCGATGTGTGTGTATAAGTCTATGTGTATGTCTTTTTCGCCCGGCAAACGTCGGGTACTTCCCGCTAGTAGTTAATACATTTCAAATCTTGTTAAGACTCTTTGTCATCATGTTTTTTGTCCATCATTTTATTAAAGCATTTTTTAAACGTCCGCATTGGTATCCTATAATATTGAGGGAATTGCATGTGAGAGAAAATGGAGCCGAACTCCTCTCTCTCTTTCTTTCTTAATAAAAAAAAAGTGTAACCCTTACACTCTTACAGGGTGCCAATCAGCCAAGCATGTAGATCATGCTGTTAATTTGCAACAAGGACTCTGGAACAGAGTTGTGGATTTGGAGACAATATTTCCCCCCATCAGAATAAAGGTAATGGGAACACTTATCATTTTCTTTTCTGGAAATAACACGTAACTTGTTTCTATGACTTCGGATTTTCAAGTAAATTTGAAATTACAGTATATATAGTACATTTATTTGATTTGTGTGACTAATCTTAAAAACATTAATGTTTCATGAGTATTTTATTAATGATGTGTCCTTCACTCTGCCTTTCACACCACAACTGCTAAATATTAGAAAATTAACACCGCTATTTAACCCAGTCCCAAAAAAAATGTAAGCAAGGTATGTAACATTTTATTTCGTTATATCATTTGATAATACCAATTGTGGAATTTGTAACACAATATTTCACAGACGTAAATGACCAGAACTCTGAGGTGCCGAGTCAAGCTCAATGTCACTCGAATGTCAGACAAGAGAAGTGGGGCCTTTAACTGTCTTTTAAAAGTCAGTGTTGATTGAATGTTACGAGTGTGAAGCGGGATGCCGTTCCAAACGGTGGAGAAATCACGTCGGGCAGGAACGGTCCTGGTCCTTGGTGTAGAGAGAAGCTTGCGACTTGTGCTACTGCGGAGAGTTATACCTTGAGCTGTAGTGCAGAGTGAAGAGAGAAAAGAAAGGTACATATGGGTACAATCATATTACAGTACACCGTTTTTTTTCCTACGTCATAATTCATATTTATAAATTCTACAGTGAGATGCTGGAGTCAATCATATGTCAATCTATTTGATTGAAATATAGTTTTTCATGGAAGCATACTTTACAATGGTAAGTGTTGAAAGTGCTCAGTTTTACGAACATTATGTTGGACACACGTGTGCCAGGAAGAGATCCACCTCGTTGTGCACGATCCACTCAGCCGGGTGTAGAGCAAAGCTATTGAGCGACGCCGTCATTTCCCATGCGTCAATTATCACAACGGGGAGGTCCATAAACACACGTCGTGTCAACGCCCAAATGCGGAATGCCAGCCAGTTGCTGAAACTGGCAAGATTGATGCCCGTCTCGCGCATATTAATGGTCTTGATGACAATGGTCGTCTGCGGACTGCGTGCGATCAGTCGTAGGATCGCGGCGCGCACGTTCAGTAACCGCCGGGACGCGTCGACCAAGGGGAACGGCACAAAGTGGGCTCCCAGCGACACTGCCACAGCCGTCATTGGCCCACCGGAGATGGCATCCAACTTGCGCATATGGAAAGGGTTCAGAGGGAACACCGGGACGTCAGACTGGTGGAAAAGCGCTTTGACCCAACAATTACTAAAAAGTTAATAATGAAGAGGGAGAGTATGCAACTAACAAAACTATTGTTAATATAAGCAACACCATCTCCATCACCTTGTGATTAGAACACTCACTCACAATCTTTAAAAAAAATGCAATGTTTTGTTCCACAGCGTTGTGTTCCACAGTTCAGATCAGATCTTTTGGGATCAACCACGTGCATATTGGTGCACTGGGATCCTGTTGCCATGAATGACGCAATATGAAATGAAAATATTACTGTGCACCACACCTCAAGCGCTGCATGGCGAAAGTCCTTGACACGCTGCAACTGGGAACAGAAGTATGGGTAACCATGCGGAATGTAGCGCAGCAAGATGTCGTTTTGGGGGTCCACGGCGAGTGCAGGTTGGTGAATTGTTGGAATATGCAAGTTAATCTGCTTCAGGGCTGAGAACAGAGACAACAAAAACGAAGCATTGAATGTGTTATTCTATGAGCTCTGTCCACACGCAAACAACGGAAGAGGGTCTCTCATCTTGTCGGGAATTAGCACTGGAAAAAAACACCATTTACCTACTTATGGAGTCACTTTAATAGGCCTCTTATAAAACAGTAAACGACTATCCTGTATGCTTTACACAGAATAGTCTGCTCTAAGTCAGTGCTTCAATATGCTTTATAATTGAGCCCACGGCAATGTGCCATTTTATTGAGGGATTGTGTGTTGCCTTGGTGTGGTCTGGGACTTCTTATTGTCTTGTTGCCTTGCCCAAGCTTGCATTTAATGATGCAAAATCTGACAATAAATGTATTTATATTTATTTGTATTTAGTTACTTGCTTACCTTTTTTCCCTATTTTGCACTCCTATCGTTTTTTGTATTGTTTGTTTAAACTTGCTGACCCACCCCTTCTGGAAATCTGTTAAAAAAAGTTTTATAGCTCATTGGATTTCGCCAGTCTATGAACGAGCTTTAGACAATCAGTCAACATACTAACTTAGTTTGCTTGTGGGAAACTGTCCAGATTCAAAGTAAGTCACTTAGCTTTCTTTTTCTTTACCTGACTAATTATGAAATCTCAGTTTCCATATTTAATGGGGCCAGGAGGGGCAGAGCACTGGTGACTTCTACAGGAAGCAGAGCGGCAAGTAACTTTCTGCTATTTATTTAGCAATGTACAAGCTTCAGTAAATTTCTGCCACTGCCGAACAGCTTGGGATAGACGCCTGTGAAATATAGAATCATACCTCATTGGGTTTTTCCAGATACAAAATGTATATCTATGTATATTCGTGTTTTCAGTATGGGAATATCTTTGGAAGATGCACTACAACTCAATACAGGCCTTGCTCACCACCATGACTCCAAGATGACTTGTTCAGTGTACAGGGTGGTTCACCACATTTGTAGGATCTTATATACATTGCAAAATGTTACTGCGATTAATGGAATATGCAAGATTATGATTTACGTTATATGTTTCAAGCAGATACAGGCGCAGATGGCACGATGAGGTTAGATGGCAGCAGATAGCTAATATAAGGAGTCCGATGCGGATAGGAGATAACAGGTGGCCAGGTGGTGTGAGGATACTTCTGGCACTTGGGGGTAAAGCTCTTGGTGAGTGAGGAGGGGAGTCTCTTACTGGGCATGGCCGAGTCCACTAGTACGTTGTACCATTGACGCACGGTGGAGTCGCCCAAGAGGTAGACGTTGCGTCTGCGGAGGCATGCGGTGACCTGTTCGGCTTTGAGAAACCTGCGTCCTTTGCAGTTGCCCGGTTGCCACTCCCTATTCAGGTAATACCCGAGCTGCTGCACTCTGCTCTTCAAATCGTAGGCCCCAAAAGCATCAGCCTTGCTCTTATCTTTCTGGATTCCACCGCACACAGGTAGCAGAGGTTCCTGCACAGCTGGCAAGCAAACAGGGTCGATGTAGAGGGCGAGCATGCTCAAACGTGCACACCTACAATGCCTCAGGGTATATGAAGCTGATCGTGATGAGGTCAATAATAATAATGAATGGTTTCAACAGGCTAGAATAATACAAAGTTATTCGGTTTTGAAGCCAATGAGTTAAACAGATGTCAACCGTGTGATCCAACACAGGGCCAATAAAAGTAACATTCTGCTTGAAAATAATATGGGTCCTTTATTTCCAGTATCAATGCTTGAAAAAATAAGCATACGTTTTACCCTTTCTGGCAATAAAACAGATGTTTAGATGTTCAAAGACCAAATAAAATCATGTCTGCATTAACCACACGTACTTGTGGTGAACATGCATAGATATTTTTTTTAAGCTGGACAAGCCTGATGAGCTATGATTCTATTTTTCACAGGTGTCCATCCCAAGCTGTTCGACAGCGGCGGAAATTCACTGAAGCTTCGGTAGATAAATAGCAGCAAATTACTTGCCGCTATGCTTCCTGCAAAAATCACTAGTGCTCATCCCCTCCTGACCCCATTAAAATAGGGCAACTGAGATTGCATAATTAATAATGTAAAGAAAAATAAAGCTAAGTGACTTGCTTTGAATCTGGACAGTTGCCCACAAGCAAACTAAGGTGTCACGTTGACTGATGGTCTCAAGCTGGTGGACAAACAATACGCGAAAATGTTTTTTTTTAGAATCACAATATTTATTTAGACTGGAGAAATCCGATGAGCTATAACGCACTTTTTCACAGATTTCCAGGAGGGGTGGGTCAGCAAGTTACAACACAATAAAAATCACGGAAATAAGATTTCATAGATATTTGAATTTAACAATAAAATCAGTGGTTATTTGTAACTATTGTAATTGGCCGTCATATGACAGGTTCATAAAAATGTAATTTAATTAAAAAGACAAAAACAGAAAGATTGCATTGAATTTATTTAATAAAAAAAAATTATCTATTTAGCAAATTTAGTGTAAGTTGACGATCATTATTCTTTAATGGTGTGCAAAACGAAAAGTAAAAAATTCCACCATTAGGTTTTTTCGATCCACAAATAATCTCATTTGATCCAGAAATAACGTGACAGGAATCACTTTACCAATTTAAAAAAATCGCCCCTGCTTGATCACGGCTTGATCGCATAAACACATGTATTAAAAATGGAATAGCTCAATCACTGCTCAATCAATGGGATGTCACATAGACGCATGTATTAAAAATGGAATAGCTCGATCACTGCTCAATCACTGGGATGTCACATAGACGCATGTATTCAAAATGGAATAGCTCGATCACTGCTCAATCAGAGCTTGATCGGAGTTCGATTGGTGCTCAAACAAAGATCAATTGGTGCTCGATCAAAGCTCAATCGGTGCTCGATCAGTGCTCAATCAAAGCTCGATCAGTGCTTGATCGATGCTCAATCGGTGCTCAATCGGTGCTCGATCGGTGCTCTATCGGTGCTCGATCGGTGCTCAATTGGTGCATGGTTGGAGCTCGATCAGTGCTTGATTGGTGCTCAATTAGAGTTTGTTCGGTGCTCAATCGGTGCTCGATTGGTGCTTGATTGATGCTCGATCAAATACACCAACCTACTCAAAATGTCATGGTTCGATCGGTGCTCTATTGACGCTCCATAGAAGATAATTTGTATGTATGTTGAATTTCTTTTGCACCATACATAGCCTGACTATATTTTGCACCATACATAGCCAACCATGATAATCGGAGGTGTGGGAAGTACAATAAACTAAATACAAAAAGCAGTTCTAAAGAAATGAGTTTTCCTAATATCAGAAGGAAGAGCATTCGAGATGGCTGCAGAAGCATTCGAGATGGCTGCAGAACCAGTGTACGTTTATGTAGTTACCATGTTGGGGTGTTGTAATAAACGCGTTGCCTCTAAGAACAAGAGTGTGCCTCCGTATAACACACTACACATGTAGGTATGACTCAATCTGCCCTAGCAACATTAAATAGCCACACGACGAGTATGTGTTGGTCGATGGTGTCGAAGGCAGCTGAGAGATCAAGGCCAACCAACACTGTGGTGCACCGGCCATCCATGATTTTGTAGAGTCCATCAGCAATATTGAGTCGAGGCGTCTCAGTGATGCGGGACTTCCGGTATGCTGACTGCAATGTGCTGAATCTGCCCATTGCAACAACGTGAGAACCTAACCACCTCAGACAAAGTGGCTCTAGGACCTTTAAATTGTACTCAGGTTTGGGATAGAGCATTAGTTTGTGAGGTCACTACGGCTCAAGCCAACTTTTTTCAAGAGCGGTTGTTACTTGCACCATTTTCAACCATTATGGGAAAGAGCCCTCGAGTGACAATGTCTTATTTGGTCGCTGTGCGATGAACATGGACACCTCTGCCACTGAGATTGGTGCCAGGGTCTCGAGTTTTGGTTCTAGGATGATCAAACTCACATGGCAGACTGGGAGAATGCATTGACTTCAAGTTAGAAACTGCCGTTTTGACCGTCACTATTTCATTGGCGAAGAACATCACAAGTGCTGTACACAGACCAAGTTGCCTCGTTGATGAGTGGTTGGAGTGCAACAGACCCTTCACGAAGCGCCACAGAGCATGGGGGTTGCGAGCTGACTCATTGAAGCACAGAGCATAGCATGATCAATATTGAGTTGGTTGGCAGATCTGCAGGCAGCTCTGTAAGCAAGTCAGACAGTCTCAAAATCAGTGTTCTTCCAAAGATGCTCCAGCCACCTCCAGGACTGCTTTGCTGCGATTGCCTCCAGTGACAGCTAGTTACTGCGCGCTTTCCCTTTCTATTTGTGCTTATTCGAATGGGCACGAGTTCATCAAGAACAGCAGTGATGTCATTTTCTAATTGAGCTGCAAATGAATCGACTGTCGATGCAGGATTTAGACACGCCGATAAAGACCGGATCTTCTTACGGAAAGCATCGTGGTCCAGTCATTTCTAGTTTTTCTTTGATATCGTTGTAACGTATTCTTGGTTCTTTCGGTAAAGTCACGTAGAAGGGTTAGGCTATTAATCTGTAATGACACTTTACACGTCACGTGACTGATTTGAAATACCCATATCTTAAATAACCGCAGTGTTAGCTGTGAGACACGCTCTAGTGTCACGTGTGTCTGTGTGTGCACCGCAGTGTTAGCTGTGAGACACGCTCTAGTGTCACGTGTGTCTGTGTGTGCACCGCGGTGTTAACGGTGAGACACACGTGAGTGTCACTAGTCTTCTTTGGTTCTTTCGGTAAAGTCACGTAGAATGAGAATAAAATAATAAATTGATAAAATAAAATAACACAATAATATTCTCACGACGTTTCGGCCACAACACAAGCGGCCTTCATCAGGTGAAGGGGGGCGAGACTGTCTGGTAGGACAGCGCTGGAGTGAGAGAGCCACGTTCAGATCACGGCTTTTAAGCTGTGTGAGAGGAACAAAGAGCCTTGACACAGGAATTAGCATAAAATTTAGCATTGAAATGGCTGAATGATTAGCTTGTGACTGGTCACAGAAATAGCTATGTTAAAAGTTAAAGCATACACATCCGCAGAGGCACCCATTGTTAAAAGGAATTAGCATAGAATTTAGCATTGAAATAGCTAAGTTAAGGCATACACATCCGCAGAGGCACCCCTTGACAATGGGATTAGCATAGAATTTAGCATTGAAATGGCTGAGTGATTCGCTTGTAACTGCTACAGAAATAGCTACGTTGAAGTCAGAGCATACACATTCACCGAGGCACTTAGTACAAATCAAACAGGAGAATTTAGCATTGAAATAACTAGGCGAATTTAGCATTGAAATAACTGGGTGATTTGCTAGTGACTGGTCACAGAAATGACTACACATCTGAGCTATTCACAGTACTATATAGTGAACCAATAAAAACTAAAATATAAATTACCTTCATGTTATCAATAAACTCTATATTCTCCAATCAGCTAAGCCACCAACCATAAGTCGTTATATATCACAATGCTATATGGCGAAAAAATGGGTGGATTCTTACCCTCAAATTTCCGTACCACGGATAGCTATGGGCCCCGTTCAGACGGACGAGTTCGTCCATGGTCGGAACAGAGGAGGGGGAGAGAGACAGCTGCGAGGCCCTAGTATGCTCCATGTTGTAAACCATACCATTAACCGTGGTGTGAGAGGTATTAAGAGGCAATGCTGGCGAAAGAGCTGCGGTCTGAAGGACATCGTAAAATTACAATTAATTAAGAACAGAAATGATTTAACACATCTTTCCAGTGGTTACTAAGCCTGAATCCATCTTCTCGGTTGAAATTGTCTCTGTGCTTGTATATGTGAATGGCCTCATGAACGAATCTCTCATGGTAGCCGGTTGGTTTGCAAAGAACCTCCGTCTTGGAGAAGTCAATGTCATGTGAGCCCACTGAATTGTAACAGTGGTCTGCCACGGCAGAGGAGTTCGTCTTACCGTGTTTCAAGTCTGCTTTATGTTCGCGGATGCGGTCCGAGATATGTCTTTTGGTTTCTCCAATGTAGCTACTACCACAGAGGCACTTTAGTTTGTAAACGCCTTGGTTTACAACATGGAGCATACTAGGGCCTCGCAGCTGTCTCTCTCCCCCTCCTCTGTTCCGACCATGGACGAACTCGTCCGTCTGAACGGGGCCCATAGCTATCCGTGGTACGGAAATTTGAGGGTAAGAATCCACCCATTTTTTCGCCATATAGCATTGTGATATATAACGACTTATGGTTGGTGGCTTAGCTGATTGGAGAATATAGAGTTTATTGATAACATGAAGGTAATTTATATTTTAGTTTTTATTGGTTCACTATATAGTACTGTGAATAGCTCAGATGTGTAGTCATTTCTGTGACCAGTCACTAGCAAATCACCCAGTTATTTCAATGCTAAATTCGCCTAGTTATTTCAATGCTAAATTCTCCTGTTTGATTTGTACTAAGTGCCTCGGTGAATGTGTATGCTCTGACTTCAACGTAGCTATTTCTGTAGCAGTTACAAGCGAATCACTCAGCCATTTCAATGCTAAATTCTATGCTAATCCCATTGTCAAGGGGTGCCTCTGCGGATGTGTATGCCTTAACTTAGCTATTTCAATGCTAAATTCTATGCTAATTCCTTTTAACAATGGGTGCCTCTGCGGATGTGTATGCTTTAACTTTTAACATAGCTATTTCTGTGACCAGTCACAAGCTAATCATTCAGCCATTTCAATGCTAAATTTTATGCTAATTCCTGTGTCAAGGCTCTTTGTTCCTCTCACACAGCTTAAAAGCCGTGATCTGAACGTGGCTCTCTCACTCCAGCGCTGTCCTACCAGACAGTCTCGCC